GAGTGGTAGTGGTAGCACTATGGGGTCCGTGCACAAACTTCACTCCTTCAACGGCCAGGAAAGGAGGGTTGGGGGAGACCTAGACTGGTTCCCGGTCCATCCACTGCGTAGTTTGGATGATCCAAAGTTATTGGGGGCGGGGATTAGTCTGGAAGACCATCGCAAGTTAAATTTGAACGTATTCGCGCGCCGATGACGCCTGACACTCACGCGAAGACGCTGTGGCTAATATTCAGGAAGTCGTGTGTACTTCGTGCGCGAACCAGTACACTGCAGTACGCATAATTGTCCCATCCACGGAGCTCTCGAAGTGGTAAAACACGCCCTCTTTTGTTAGCGCACGGAGCCCATAGGGGGGATAGGGGTTTGGGCCGGGGGGGGGGGGGGGGGGGGGGGGAGGGGGCAATAGGGGAGCATGGTAGGCATTTGGTGTCCCCTCCCCCATTCCCCCCCCACCCCCCAAAACAAGGGGAGAAGACAGCTCTCTCATCCAAAAATGGATAGGATCCTTGGCATTTCTGCATCTAAGACCCACACATTTCGATGGGTTGAGTCCCACACATACTCGAAACTGGTCTGAAAATCTCCCAGAGGTACCCTATACCTCGATGGGAACTTCCAACATCTAGAGAACTACGTCCTGTCATTGAATAAAAATGGGCTGACTCTCTCTTTTTTTCTTTTTTTTTAAATGGTGCTTGTGTGGTTTCCTGCTGCATCAAAGGTTTTGAATTATTACCTCATGGAAGCAGAACATCACTGTCTGCAGGGAAACAATGTTCCAGCTCGGAACTTTTTACAGGAACTTGAAACCATCGACAGAAACCCACAGGCCACGGGTGTTTTGCTGGTCCCAGAGGGCCGGCCTACCAGGAATTGTCATTAAGAATGCATGCGGCATGTGCGTGAGCATGGCACTAATTTTAAAGTAAAAAGATTGCCGGTAACACCATGTGGAAAGTAATCTCTTCTTGGAAAAAGTGTGGTTCTGAAAAGAACCGGTTGGTTGAGTGTAGAACTTGACGTTTCGGACAGTGTGCTCTGTCCGTCCTCAGGAGTTGAGACCTTCTAATTTTGTTCACTGGATTACACTACAGCCTTGCCTAGTCTTGTTTTGGAGTTTCTGAGTAGTCCAAGTGTAGCTTTAAGTAACAACTAAGGGTCAAATCGGGCCACTAACAGAACAAGGGGATTTTTGTTCAACCCTCAGGGGTGACGTTTGGGCCATTCCCTGGCCGGTTATTGGGCCCCATAAGAAAGGCTTGGATTATGTCAAATTACCAAGTGACTGGTATTCCACTTGGAAAATAAATATGGTCCCTTGTTAAGTCGCAGCAAAGGTAGTTAAGGTGAATGTGGGGTAATTTCCAATGACATGTAAGGGCTGGGGACCTCTTTGGGGTTGGGTTTTGTTCTTGGGTTCGGGCGTCGAGGGATTAGAAAGAGAATTGATTTCTCGAAAAAAAAGATGGAAAAAATCAGTTGGAATTAAGGGTTGAAAGAAAAACCAGACGAAAAATAAACATGAAAGAGAGAAGGGGAGATGGAATTGGCGGCACATTTCATGAATGAAATTGATCCATTTTTCCCAGCGGGCGCTTCAATTTCTGTGGCCTGACGATGAAATCCCGGCCCCAAATGAGTGTACATTGAAGTGGTGAAACTGTGCTAAAAAGACTGAAGAGTCCCCAGTGCAAAATGCTTCACACAAAGCTTTTACAGTTTTGAGCACGGTCTACAGTTTTAAGTAGAGTCTATATAATACCAGATTGTTTTCTTTTTTCATTGTCTGATTTCTTTTCTTCTTTTTTTCCCAAACTTTTTTTGTAAGACCTGAATCTGGGAGCATAATAATTCTGCAATAATAACAAATGTGAGTTCTTATCCTGCCATACTATAAGTACCTGCGGAACTAAAGCAGTAAAAGTTATTCCATTCATTTTGAAGCCTAGACATTTTATTTAGTGTGACAGGCAGTAAATTAGAGTTCCACATAACAACACATCCAAGTGCGCTCCGTCTTCATGAATAAAACCCTCTTGACAACAACAAAATGGAATGACCAACAACAAAAAGAAAACCTCTGGGGAAATAAAGCATTCATTTCAATCCTTGTAAAAGAAATGCATTTACTCAGGGAGTACAAATTCCATAACTGAGCCGCTGCAGAGAATCCCGAATGATGGAGTGTTTGGCAATTCAGAGAAAGGAATCTTGTGTGAGTGATTCATACAAGTTATGTATGGATAATGATGGTTTGACCTAATTTTTTTTTCTCCGGGCAACCATGGTTGAACTAGTTTGACTATGATGAAATATTCTACAGAGCAAGTATTTGAGCTGTGTATAGACCCTTTGCACTGCAGCCATGTTTGAGGTGTGTGTTTTTGTTCAACAGGAATACGCATCGAGTAGACCTCTGGTGCGTTCATTGTTATACTAATATTGCATGGCTCAGCGTGAAATAGGAGGAATATTATCGCAAGGTAAAATCTGGACTTTTCCATTTCACGAGGCGAAGCCGAGTGAACTGGAAAAGTCCAGATTTTATCGAGCGATAATATTCCTCCCATTTCACAATTTAAAGCCACTCAATATGTGTTTTATATAACTGACATAGATCCTTGTCATTTGATATATTTGAACTTTTATTTCAATACAAAACTGGAGGAAATTGTATTTCTCTCTTCCAAACCACCCTTCATGAAATGTTTGAACCCAACGCTGTAGCGCTGGCTCTTTGGAACAATACGCGCTACGCGCAACGCTGAACGTGCACACCAGCATGCATAATTTGCACACAAATATTACGTCATGATCTTAACTGTTCAATAGTATTTCCCATTCCCCATGGGCGAATAGTACTTTTTGAGCCACGGCGTGAATGGGAGCAATAACGAATGTCACGTGATGTGAGTTCCACCAATCAAATGACAAGGATCTGTATGTCGGGTATATAATAATGAATTAACATAACAAAACACACCTCCAATAAAGAGCAAGTTCGGGCAAGGGCCATTACATTTGACTAGTGGTTGATTTGTGACGTACCTTACAGCAACGTGCTAACGTCTCTAGTCAAACGCTGGTCAAAATGTCATCGCAAAACTTCTGGGTCCTGGCTTGCTGCTGTACGTTATGAATGCGCGCGGCTATTGGTAACCAGCAATGCAACCAGGCCCAGTAGGCTGGTTCCAAATAGTCGACTAGCGTAGTCAACCATCGTCGACTAGACAGAGTTCGGGCTAACTTTAGTCCAACTATTGTTAACCACTGGTCAACAATAGTTCTGCGCGAACTTGCCCATGGTTGCTGATACGGTTGTCTGTTTCCCAATAATTTACCATTCGATTACTTGAAACTACGTTTGATCGAATATGCGGATATTCGAAACTTGCAGGCAATCGATATGGGTTGCTGGAGCGTTTTGCAGTTGGTACTTTATAATTACATAAAGGGCTTTAACCTCCGAGGGATGTGGATGATCAGCCGCCGTCGTCAACAAAATTGCACCTGACAATGAAGCGTCGCAACTTTATGATAAAACAACATCACAGTCGTGTTTGCACGTGCGTAGTTTTTTTGTTTCTGAATATTCAAACCAGCAAACAGCTAATTGAATATATTTCTCTTGATCATCGAAAAATTGAGTAGTACATGTATATTCAAAATAGTCCGAGTTGCTGAACGCAAATTAGTCTATTTTGCAAAACTACTGTCAGAAAACAACATTTTGCAACAATAATTTGCAACAGTCCACATTTTCAGCATGCATGAGTGCAATGCCATTTGCCATTGGACCAAACCTTTCTTTTTGTCTTTGCAGTGATATCAACAGCGCCCTCTTGTGAAAAAATAAGTTCTCCTATTTCGAGCAGCACTTTGCTGGGGCACAAAAAGCGCCCTCTGTTGATTCAGAACTTTTGGGGGAACGTCAAGCATTTACTTTTTGGGGCCTAAGAAATTGAACACTGCCCTCTCTTGAAGCAAAATTCCTTATTACAGCTCCCTTGGACCTGATGATCTTAAGTTGATTCCTAACCAGCAAAACTTTCCTTTTTTGCAGGAATACCGGTAACAGCAAATTCTGTTATGTCTGGAAACAGAAAAATTGCACATTCTTGACATCTTCAGCCCTAACAATTTACACGACTTGCTTTGAGGAAATCCAACACATTTCATCAGAATGTTTCACAGTGATTAAAACATCATCCTCAGCACCTAAGGCCAAGTTCGCGCAAGGACTATAGTTGACCAATGGTTAACCATAGTTTGACTAACGCTTGCCCGAACTCTGTCTAGTCGACAGTGGTTGACTACGCTAGTCAACTATTTGAAACCGACCTACTGGGGCTGGTTGCTTCGCAGGTAACCAATAGCCGCGCGCATTCATAACGCTAGCAGAGAGCCAGGATCCAGAAGTTTTGCGATGACATTTTGACCAGTGTTTGACTAGAGACGTTCGCACGTTGCTATCAGTGCGCAGGCATAAGGTACGTCACAAATCAACCACTAGTCGACTAATGGTCCTTGCCCGAACTTGCCCAATATTGTCGAACTGTTGCATGCTTTTACCAAACAGCGCCCTCTTTTGTTAAGCAATAGCCAACTGACTAAAATAAAAAAACAAAAGAATGATCCACAAGATTGAGGACTGTCTGAGTATTGTAAACTGACATTGAAGTATTTCGAACCCATTATAAAAATGGCAGCCACTTACCCGTACCACAATTTGAACCTGATACATCGTTGTATATTTTTTATGCAAATATTGCTATGAACTTCGCAGGGAAATATGTTAAAAACAAAAAACCTGTGAACAAAATTAGAAGCCATATTTGAGATGGAACTAGGCTCGCGCTCAAGCAGTGCGCAGGCACTTTGAGTTACCGTAATGCGTGCGCCTCGTCTTTGAGAACAAGTGAGGCATATGCACGGTTCCAAAGGTCTAAAAAATGGCTTCTAAATGTGTTTGCTGAATTAGCAAACATCAAGCTTACCGACAATGGGTGAGAACTCCAAAAGCTCAGGCGCCACCTGCAGCTGGCCCAACATGCCTCCCATGATTTTACTTTCCAGGGCCGTGCGCAGAGTGTACTCGCTGTACACGACCTCTGACCCCAGGTCAAATTGGGCTTCGATATACCCATCGTCACGTGGTCTGTTGAGGAAGATGCAAAAATTATTCAATCACCAACTGAACAAAATAACACGTGTTTAGTAAGAGCTGCACGTACAAGTACAAAGCAATATCATACATTGTTTGCTTTCTTGTTTCAGACACAAATACATTATTAACCCCAGTCCCACAGGGGCAAGTGAAAAAGAGGACTTAAACCCTCCAACCCTCCACCTCCACAATGTGACAATTTTTCCATTCCACGCCACCTTTCTGATACCCACTAGAGAGACATACATGAACTGTGCCCGTACGGGCTCCGTGCGCCAACAAAAGAGGGCGCGCTTTTATCACTTCTGAGCGCCCCTTGGACGGGACACTGCGTGTGCGCACTGTAGTTCGCGCATGAAGTACGCACAACTTTTTTATTTCCTGAATGTGCACGAAGCCAAGCCACAGCATCTTCGCACGTGAGTGTCCAGCGTCGTTGGCGCGCGAATACGTTCAAATACGTTCAAATTTAACTTGCGATGGTCTCCCAGACTAATCCCCGACCCCAATTACTTTGGATATCATTTAGAATACGCAGTGGATGGATCGGGAACCAGTCTAGGTCACCCCATACTCTCCTTTTGTGGCCGTCGATGGGGTACTTATCTTATGGGCTCTGTGCGCCGGCAAAGAGGGCGCCCTTTTACCTAGCAATGACGTCCCATGGACAGGACACTTCGCTGGTTGATGTGCACCGTTCCTTGTGTGTGACGCACGTACACCAGGGGATTTGTATTATGTCCATTATTATGTCCATGCAGTGGCCGCACTTCGCGGCAAATGAATTGCAGTCAGGCAAGATGGCATCAGTCGGTCACCCCCAACTGTACTCTCTTTGCCGGTGAGGGGGTACTTTTGAACGGAGCGATACAAGGAGCCCACACTTTTAGAAATGTTCCCCCGCCATTGCCCAACCCTCCCAGATAACTTCAAAATCGACCGGGAGGTTTTGCTGGATTTTGCCAGACTAAGTTTAGGCAGAGAATGTGCGACTGGGATCTCCCAATGTTTCCAGCTAATATGTACATGAGGAGCTAGGCTTTAAACACTGAAAATGTACACTTACACAAACTGAAGGACGGTGACGAATTGTGGACCAGGAATTCCTTCGTAAATTTTTTCTACCTGAAAAGCAAAGAGATAAATATTTAAAGGTAGGATAGATCATTTGTCATTTGTGGATTTTTTTGTTTGAAACAACAAAAGTGCTAAAAATCTAAAGGCGCTCAGTGAATGCTGTATATATTCCAAGAAAACAATATTCTAGGATCTCAATTTCAAATCAAAAGTTGCAGAGTCATGTTTTGAATTGCGCCCAAAATTAGCATCCGGGGCACGTTCTCATTCAGCAGGTTGCAGCTATGCGATGTCATGCACTAAACCATCCATTGACGGATTTGCTGAATCACAAACTAACTACTAACAGAAAATTCCAAAAATGCATCACTTGACTAATCTTATTTTTTTCATCTAAATTTTCAGTAACTTTTTAAAAATTGTTCCAGGACTTTTCCAGTCCTTTTCAAAATTTCCCTTTTCCTTCTTCTCCAAGATTTTTCCAGGATTAGGCCAAAAAAAAAAAAAAATATTCGGTCTCTGGTCAGACCAAAGTTCCGGAATTGACGCGGCCACGCGGATTTTTTTTTTTTTTTCTTGCTTTTTTTTTTTTTCTTCAAGCTTGGATTGTACAGACAAGGTGGGTACTATTTTGCTTTTTTGGTGTCCTCATGTACATTGGTGTCCTCCAATGCACCAATAATTTGCCTTGGTGCTTTCGATCATTTGCCTTGGTGAATTTCCCATTCCTTGGTGCTCTTTGGTAAAAAAAATTGAGGAGGTGCGGAAATAGAGGGCGCTGTTGGAGCTACCGCGGAACATTTTGGAAAAAAAAAGATCGACGCGCATGATTAAAATCGACGCGCCCGCTGACCAGAGACCGACTTTTTTTTTTTTTTTGGCCTTACCAACAGGATTACATTTCCAGCTTTTTTCCAGGGCTATCGACTGGATTTCTTCACTGGAAAGTTGTCTGTGTACCTACCCTTGTGGCGATGGAATCGGCAAGCTCAATGAAGGCGCTCGAGGCTCGGTTGCTATGGTCCAACGTGTATTTAACATTCGTAACTAGAAGACCGATGCGGTAATATGCCACCGCAGCTGGAAAACAAAACCACACAAAATGTTGGGTTTAAAATCTGACAGGTTTAAAGGGGCACTAGGTCCTGAAATCCCCGAAAATTTCATGTTTTGGATTTTTTACTTAGCCTATTTCAAACATGTGGTTGAAAGGAAATCAACCTAATGTTTTACCGTTCCTGAGAAAAGAGGAAAAAACCTTGGTTGTTTATATCGCACACGACGGAGTACGAATACGTTTTTCGTGTCATTCTCAGTGTACGATATACACCTTGTGTGTCTCGGGAACAGCGGTGACCAATCACCAATGCAAAAAATGACGTTTCTCCAACGTCCGCAAAAGGCGAACACTTTACGAATGAAATCACAACTAGCATCCAAACAGCTCGAATTTATGGGGTCGCAAAAGTGGACCCTGACATTCGTTCTTGCACGCATAAAACAGGAATAACACAAAAACGCCCAGTTTTGAAAGGATAGTTGCGTAGATGTTTATATCCTACTTTTAAATGTTCTTTCCGATTAACATCATCTCGTTCAAAGCGCGTTTTGTAGCCCAATAGGGCTGTTCCAGGACCTAGTGTCCCTTTAACCCTAACCCTCCTAAATCATTCAAAATCCACCAAGATTTTGGAGGATTTTGAAGGATTGAGGAAGAAGAGCACAGCCAATATTACTTTGCATGGGGCTAGATATGACTTGAAAGTTGAAGAATGCACATACAGTGTCTGATAATTGTAGGATTCAGACATTTTTTGTATCCTAGCAAAAGTGCCAAGCCATGAAAGTTATTGCTATGGGCTCTGCGCACAACTGGACTGGGGGAATGTGGCTAAGTGGTGAGGGTTCGTGACTCATGATCGGAGGTCGAGGGGTTCGAATCCAGCTGCTGGTCATATATTGCGTCCTTGGGCAAGTCACTTCACCCCCACTTGCCTCTCTCCACCCAGGAGTATAAATGGGTACTAGCAGTAAGCTGGGGTTGTTTCTCTTGCCTCTCTCCACCCAGGAGTATAAATGGGTACTAGCAATAAGCTGGGGTTGTTTCTCTTGCCTCTCTCCACCCAGGAGTATAAATGGGTACTAGCAATAAGCTGGGGTTGTTTCTCTTGCCTCTCTCTACCCAGGAGTATAAATGGGTACTAGCAATAAGCTGGGGTTGTTTCTCTTGCCTCTCTCCACCCAGGAGTATAAATGGGTACTAGCAATAAGCTGGGGTTGTTTCTCTTGCCTCTCTCTACCCAGGAGTATAAATGGGTACTAGCAATAAGCTGGGGTTGTTTCTCTTGCCTCTCTCCACCCAGGAGTATAAATGGGTACTATCAATAAGCTGGGGTTGTTTCTCTTGCCTCTTTCCACCCAGGAGTATAAATGGGTACTAGCAATAAGCTGGATTTGTTTCTCTTGCCTCTCTCCACCCAGGAGTATAAATGGGTACTAGCAATAAGCAGGGGTTGTTTCTCTTTCCTCTCCCCACCCAGGAGTGTAAATGTGTACTAGCAATAAGCTGGGGTTGTTTCTCTTGCCTCTCTCCACCCAGGAGTAAACATTGTAAATGGGTACTAGCAATAAGCTGGGGTTGTTTCTCTTGCCTCTCTCCACCCAGGAGTACAAATGGGTACTAGCAATAAGCTGGGGTTGTTTCTCTTGCCTCTCTCCACCCAGGAGTACAACTGGCTACTAGCAATAAGCTGAGGTTGTTTCTCTTGCCTCTCTCCACCCAGGAGTACAAATGGGTACTAGCAATAAGCTGGGGTTGTTTCTCTTGCCTCTCTCCACCCAGGAGTACAAATGGGTACTAGCAATAAGCTGGGGTTGTTTCTCTTGCCTCTCTCCACCCAGGAGTACAAATGGGTACTAGCAATAAGCTGGGGTTGTTTCTCCTGCCTCTCTCCACCCAGGAGTACAAATGGGTACTAGCAATAAGCTGGGGTTGTTTCTCTTGCCTCTCTCCACCCAGGAGTATAAATGGGTACTAGCAATAAGCTGGGGTTGTTTCTCTTGCCTCTCTCTACCCAGGAGTATAAATGGGTACTAGCAATAAGCTGGGGTTGTTTCTCTTGCCTCTCTCCACCCAGGAGTATAAATGGGTACTATCAATAAGCTGGGGTTGTTTCTCTTGCCTCTCTCCACCCAGGAGTATAAATGGGTACTGGCAATAAGCTGGGGTTGTTTCTCTTGCCTCTCTCCACCCAGGAGTATAAATGGGTACTAGCAATAAGCTGGGGAATAATCTGCGATGGGCTTGCATCCCATCCAGGGGGATAAAAACTTTGATCAGTTGTTTCATGCTGAGCAAACCAGAGATAAAAGCCGGCCTGATGGGCCATATTTGGCTTGTGACAGACTTCACGTTACTTTGCGCTATACTGAAGCTTGACCTACCAGGGGTCGGTTCGGTCCCACTCCCGGTTGGCTCCTCGGTTCCCGATCCTTCCGTGTCCGTGAAAACCTCGGACGCTTGCCTCCGATGTCTCGGCCCCGCTAGCTCCTCCACGGGTAATTTGGGTATCGTTTCAAGCTCTTCAACTTCAAAGAGTTTTGCCGGAGAGCGCTGTACTCTTGTCTCCTCCTGCAGATGTGCCTTGTCATTGGTGAATGGTAGATATCCCTCATCCTGAAAGCAAGTAAAAGACAAAAAAGGAAAGGCTGAAGTTATCAACTGAAGAACAAAAAATGCATGTGACATGTTTTTCTCAACTCTTCAGCTGTTCTACATCTTCAGGTAATTTTTGCTTGTTTATAAACTTAAACATCAGGGGGCAAAGAACAAAAAATGTTAGTAAAATACTTCCATCAAATCTTCAGTTTTTGTACGTTATCCCAACAAGAGGAAAATGCCCAACAACAACAAAAATTGGAGCATAAAAGATACAAAAACCTCTTTTACTTCATTTTTGTTTAATGAAAAAAGGAAAATGAACAAATATACATGTTCTGGTTGCAAATTTCATACTAGGCACCACTTCTCCAAACACTCACAACAAATTTTTAAAGATCAATTAAAAGTTGGTTTATTATTACGACCACAGGAAATTTTGAAAGGTAAGGACCATGACTAAACACCCAGGGTCCTTCCTGCCGAGGGAAACATATATAAATCTTTGTAGTTTCACAATCCATGAAACACCAGGTGCTGTGCAGATGGGGCTCCTAGGCACATGGCCAGGTCATTGACATGATGTCATAATATATGGGGGGCCTTGTGGTTTTTATTGTCTTAAGCAGGAAAATTGATTTCAAAGTACGTGAAGCAATTCAATGGGCTACTAACCATAAAGAGTAACACGTTCATAAGGCCAAAAAAAAAAGTCTCCGGTTTCTGGTATGCGCGCACGTTGCCGTAGCCATGCACGTCGGCAAAATGAAAAAGTTTTTTTTTTTCAATAAAAAAGGATGTCTCAAAACCGCCAAACTCACTGGTTTGACTGGAATCCTGCTGCTGCACAATTTTAATGTGTTTTTAGATGGGGTTATGATCAAGAATAAGCTTTATGTGGCCTCTCCGGACTCCCATATATTTGCACTAAGTTTGGTCGGGCACAATTTGCAGTCATCAGCCGACATTTGAAGCAAAAAAGACAGGTAAAAAAAAAAAAGCCGCGTCGCCGCACCACTTTTTGGGCAAGCTCCATACCAGAAACCGGAGATTTTTTTTTTGGCCTAAGGGTAAGAAGTAATTTACGTTACTGGCTTAACCCTAACCCCCTAGGCCCTTGTTGCTTACAACCATCCTCAATCCTCCAAAATCCTCCAAAATTTTGCAACTCCGCCTAAATTTTTCAAAATTGTCAGACAGTCCTGCCTCAAAATGCATTCATCCTCAATCCTCCAAAATCCTCCTCATCCCAAAATTTTGCACTCGTGTTTAAATGAAGGATAACCCAACGCCAAATCCTTCAAAATCATCAGACAGTCCTGCCTCAAAATGCATTCATCCTCAATCCTCCAAAATCCTCTTGTGCTTCAATCACCATTCATCCTCAATCCTCCAAAATCCTCATGTGCTTCAATCACTATTCATCCTCAATCCTCCAGAATCCTCATTTGATTCAATCACCATTCATCCTCAATCCTCTAGAATCCTCCAAAACCGCCAGGAGGATTTTGGAGGAGTGAGGTGGGTTAGGGTTAATTAAATGAAACCATCACGTACATTTAATGTGTTTTTTTTCTTTTTTTTCTTTTTGAGCTTTGACTTCTTTTGACTAGCTTTGCTTTGGGGGATGGGGTCCACTACAACATGTTTCACTTAGGAAATACCTACCATTATGTATTAAGTGAAGGAAGAAAAGTCTTATGTACATGTACAATGCATGTAATGTATAAATAGGAGAAACCTTTCTGAGGCTTTTCTGAATTTAAGGAAAAGAGAAAAAAAATGCTCTTCTCAAACTCTGCGAGAAGGCAAATGAATTTCGACAAGATCTTGAAAACAAAATTGAGAACCTTTTGGGGTAAAAATCTTAAATGTGAAATATCTTTCTCAAACACTTCAGATGTTTTCTGTATTATGACGAAAAAAAAAACATTTCTAAAAGAACTGAAGATTGCAAAATTTGGCAACTAGCAACAGACCATTTTGCATTTGAATTATTTATAATGACTGAGCACAGTTCTCTCAACTCCCCTCCCCCCTAGTTTCCGGTTACTCCGCCTAATCCTTACCTACTACTGACCACACACCATGACCCTTAATTGATAACCTCAATACCTTCAAATCAAACCATCCACTCCTGGTATGCCGCGCATCCTTCCCAATCCCCCCCTCCCCCCCAACCAACCCTAACCCCACCTAACCCATCCAAGAAGTATGGATGTCGCCAAAGGTCGATCAGGTTAATGACAAACACACGACCAGCCAATAACCAACCCAAGAGGATGCCCTTCAGCACATGAGGAGCTGTGTAATATTGCATCCGTAACGATGTCCGCGATTTCACACTTGTCCCCAGGGTTGGGGTCAAATTGAATGGGACAGCGCACGGGGAGGGAGTCCGTTCTGTGCAGAAAGTCAGGATAGATCACGGAAGTTTGGAGCACACACGATAGCAAAAATGGAGCACACACGATAGCAAAAATGGATTAACAAAAAATACAAGGCAGCAGGGAAAAAAAATCAACCAATGGGATTATAGAAGAATGACTGAGCATTGTTCACACTGAAATCATTCTGAGAGTACCGGTGTCATATGAAAATCAGACTCGTATGAAAATCGGACTCTTTTTCCCTTTTATTGGTTAAACCCTCTCACGTGACCGGTCCCTCTCCTAATTATCTATGCATGAGCATGCGCAATACCACCAATGAGTCTGTATTTCATAAAACTTAAATTCATGCTACACCGGTACATGTATGTCATCTATAATAATGACTGGCACGTGCAATCTCTGATTGGGGCACACAGTTTGGGCCTGCGCATGTTAAATTTGTTTAGTGTGTTTCGAATATTCAAAATTCAATTGAATCCAAGTTTGAATGATTTAATACAAAATTAATCAAAAGTGCACAGCCGTAAAAAAAAAAATTCTCCATGTACTTTTTCAACCACACAGCTCTAAGAACTTAAGCCTGATTTGCCCGTATTTTAGTCTCTGTGCTTTAGTCTCTGTTATTTTGAGACATAAAAGTTGCCCTGTATGTTTATGAAATGAGTGAAATAAAGGTTGGACGTTAGTGATGATGCTTGATCACCATAGCGCGAGTGTTTACATGTACAATCGTCGGGCGAGCCATTAAACCATTTCTCGATCGCTGATTGGTTCCCTAGGAAAGCTTAGGGAGCAAATAAACAAAAAGTTAAAGGGCTGATACGAAATGGCCAAGACGTAAATGCAAGTAAGAAGGCGCGCTGGTCTAATTGTTGTGCCATTAGAGGGCGCACTATGCAGGATCCACTATCGATCACTAGTGTCTTGGGCCGAGACTTTGCCTCGTCATATCTGGCACACCAATTTAAAGAAGAGCTGCGCTGATGAAAGGCAAAATGTTCCAGTGCAAAGCTTCACGAGGTCAGTCCGAGGTCAAAGTCATCCCCCTGGACTGCCTTCATGTAAAACCAATCAAGGAATACCCCTGCGGACGGTATCAGCATCACAGAACCCCAAGTACAACAAGACAGCAATGCGCAAAGCCGTAAACCCACTGATGTCATCTTCGATATCAGATGCGCTCGGAATTTGGCCGGGGAGCTTTGGGCGATCTCTAGGATACCACACCAGGGAATGGCCAATTTTTTTATTTCATTGATTCCCCTTTTGATTTATACGCTCCCCAGCTCCGACCAGAGGATTTACGGTGTATTTAATTTAGCGGAGACTATTTGTCTGGTCAGCGTGTGTGGTAGCGCAAGACGTAAATTAAATTTTCGGGCACGGTGTCGTTTCTTTTTTTTATGCCTTCGAGATATTTTTAAAAAGCAATTATTTTTTGTTGCTTCCCCCCTCTGCTCTCGGGAAAATGAAATGTCATTTGAGGGTCAGTATTTATCAAGTGCATTTCTTTGTTGATTAACAACATAATGTTAAATCGAAAATATTATGTTTAATCTATCAGATACCAACTCTCAAATCATAAGTGTTTCATAAGTTCTGGGATTACAATTATCAGTTTATTCAAATACAAATTATCATAGCAGTGCACTCCTTGTGGTTCTTAGAAAAGCATCACAAATACAACACAGAACTGCCAAAGGAGACAACATGACCAATGTCTTTGCCCAGTTTGTCATAAGGTATATGACGTTAAAAAATAGCCAGAAACAATTTATACAACATGAGCCAAATTCAACTGAGGTCACAGTGCAGGAAAAATGGCTGATCTAAAAAGGAAATTAGAAATAAACTCAAAAGAAACCCCCCAATCAGCAAGACCTTTCAGCATCCACAAATCACCGTCCTTGAAAACTTTCGCCATGCACAAAAATTACAAATTCATTCATGAAAACCGATTCACAAGAGCTTGGCGTGCTGCTTCAGAGAATGCACAGAAATGATAGAACTTACAATATATAGTTTGCACTTTGCTGGCATACACACACAAAAACACTCCACAACACAATGGCACTTCCGGTACAGGGCCAGCCAGTGACAGGGTGATCAAGGATGCTTATTTTCCTCATTATAGGAACTATGGTCTGTTCAATTGATTTCCTGAATTTTTTTTTCTCAGTTAAATTTGTGGGTGGGGGACTGGAAGTAAAGGCAAGTTGATAAAAATAGACAAGTTGAATAATCTGCCGCTGAGAAGTTTTTATTATCACATTTTAATTAAATACATGTACATGAGCACCTTTTTTAGGCAGATACTGGCGCTTTACAAATGTTCTTTATTATTATTATCTAAAAAAAAAACAATTAGTGTTTCCTCATTTAAAAAAAAAACGGGAAAAAAGCAAAACATGAACAATTTTAAAGATTTCCAGACAAACATGTAGAATTTTCAATGATTTACATGTAATTAAAGTGTTTGCTCTTGGGGTTTTTTTTTTGGGGGGGGGTTAATGGTAGTCTAAGGATCAAACATCATGTGTGCAGAGTCATGGTCGAACGTCCGATAGGATATATCCTAACATGCAAACTGTATGCAACCCCGCGTGCCCGCCAATCGGAGTCGAC